CCAGAAGAAGCGTATAGTATAGCTTTTATTTTGGAAAGAGACATTTCTCTGTAATAAACTCTCTTTTTCAAGGATGAGTGATTCCTCAATCAGATAGATTTATTTATTTTTTATTATTTTGTTGTTTCAGCAACATTAAATTTAAAAACTGTACTTTTGAGTTAAAATATATATTTATAATTTTAATAAATGACAAATTAAAAAGGCATGAACACTTTTTTGTATCAAAAAATATCGAACCGTGACACCAAAGTATCGAACCGAACCGAACCATGAATTTTGTGTATCGTTGCACCCCTACAAACCAACCACAAGGTTTTTGTTGCAGGACACTCATTGCAACCCAATAACCATGAGCAACCACTTGCCAACCAGTCAGGAATAAACAATAAATTATAAATAAACTATAAACTATAATAATAAACTTAAAGATTTTTCCATAGCGACACTGGTTTCCAGGGGGTCGGCAGTTTTTTCTCTGGGGTTGTGTGACTGGGGCCTCTTTTGTGCACATGCATGTGAAATACATGTATGCATGAGCATGTGCACATTTGGATTTGATCAACTGGTCTCTAAACGCAACTGACACCCTCTTCTCAACGAGAAGCCCAGGCTCAGGGGAGCCTGAGTGTCCTGCAGCAACGTTTACTGCCGGATACACGATGGATGGGTGGCAGCAGTGGTGTGTCGTGTTCCGAGAAACACTCTCAATGGAGGACATTGAGGACATCTACCTATTCGCAGCCACAATAACAGGGTTCTTGCTGATCGGAGCAACTTATCGATGACTAATGAAAGCGGTTAGAGCTGCTCAAAATCCCACAAGGCTGGCCAGAATGATTGAAGCGGTGGGTAGAGCCACGAGTACTTAGACTGTGTTTATTGAACACAATATGGATAAAATCAAGGAGAAGCTCACGACTCTGGACTCAAGCTGGAAACAGGATACACACACACGCACACTTATACAGGCACACAGACAGTCAGCCCCCAAGTTGACAAGTCATCAGCTGAAGTTGTTGCAGAGTTTGACCTATACTTTGTATTTTAACACACGATGGCAGCTCTGTCACAAAATTGTAAAAATGACAGAGAGAAGGCTGCAAATGCAACACAAGAGTCAGAGAAGGAGGACAGTGGAAATTTCACTTTGAGCTCTGTTTGCATGTTTTTATTTGATGTGTTTGTACTGGAATAATAGAAACACTCTGAGAGTGCAAACCTCCACCGAGGCCGCTCAGTCTCTGAGCTGTATGTACTTTTAAGGGAAATATGACAGAGTAGGAGTATGTAATGATTCATAAATACTTTAGTATATTTTAACTAACTAGGCAGCTTATTCTCCTTCTCCTGACAATACTTTCTTTCTTTAAAGGTTTAAGACATTTGGGGTCAACATAAAAGGAAGGCAGATGTGAAACGTAAAATTGAGGTCAGAGGTCAAATGTGACATGCTATTTTCTATTTATTGACAACACACAAACTTATAAAAGTCATAGTTTCTAAGTTATAAGGCTTTTTGTCAGTTTTTGCATATAAATGTTTACTTTGACCATGAAGCACACTGTGGATGTAAGACAAACATTAAGTAAGAATGATGTTGTGGGATGTTGCGAAACTGCAAAAATTAATTTCTCAGCAGACGTAAAGCTGCCTTTAAGAGTCTCCAAAAAAGTTGACACGTCAATGCTTTCCCTGTGTTTTTAGACATTTCTAGGTTTCATGTCTTGCAGTATCACAAAAACATTAATCATTCTCACCTATGAACCTGCCTTGGCTCACTCACTAACTGTACTCTCCCTGTGTCATAGTGACACTGTGCCTTCCTAACTGCTACTGTCAGGCCAAAGCTGCAGTGCAAATAAAAATTTGAATTACTTTGAATTCTTCAGATGATTAATAAACTGTTCACTAATAAATTTATCTGTTCTGAGCAGCTCACTGTGCCTGCATTTCTGCATATTCAGAATATTATATTATATTATATTATATTATA